CTTAGGTTACAATTGTGTACGCAGATTTGATTACTGTTTCTATGAGATCTAAATTTTCGAATACCCAATTGTAACGCTGTCGCGATTTCCGGGCAATTTTTTATACTTTTATCACGACAATGATGTGTGAAATGCGCGAAGCGGACGACTGAAAAGGCATTTTACCGGATTTTGCATGGCTAAATTTGAGCCCGGTCAGTATGAGTTAAAGCATGGGACCGATTTTCCTCATTAGCTTCGATAGAGGAAAAAATGTGATAGTTTCAATTAATAATTGATTGCAGCCAAGTAAAGGTTGAAAGTCAAAGATTTTACGGCAGTTTTTATTTGTACCGATTTTTCAGATAACAGTCCAGCTTTTAAAAATGCTGAGGAAACTGCCAAATTCGCGAGTTGGCATACTCGGCATGGCTCATAATTTTGAGCAGAAAACCCTGATGGCAAGAACACGAAAATTATTCGAATTGGTCTGCCAAACCTATTACACTGTACGTTTTTTCTGGCCCTCATATATCTCTAGGTTGAATTTAGGTCCCGGTTAGTAACCTAAAACAACATAGTAAGTGCTAGTAGATTTATGGATGGACTTATGATTAGCAGTATTAAAAGCACTTAAATGAATTTTGCTTTTTTTGCATACTCCTCTGTACATGACCCTTCTACACGACATACGGTTTACGTACATTTCCTACTGAACAGTCTTCTCTACTCTATTTCAATTTTCTCCTCTTTCGCGCACCGATCTGCTGACGTCAGCCGGACCGTTTTTTTTTTCTAATTTCTTTGTATTTTAATTCCTGACCCCTGATTACGTCGACCGGTGTTTACAGCCCTCCGAACGGGCTGTTTATAGTTTCCATTAATATGATCCTGGTAGGGCCTCCAGGGCCTGTACTGTTCTTTATAATGCAAATCAGAAAAAGTGCTCACTGACAAAATCAATTAAAAAATTATGAAAATTGAAGGCAAACAAAAGTAAAATCAGCTTATTTTCGAAAGTAATAGCAAATTGCACAACCTTGCCCATTCAAATTCAGCTTTCCCGTGCCCGCGGGTAACACGTACGGCACCGTGAAAGTTTTTTTATGGGAAAATTAATATCTCGGGAACCACGGAGTCTTGCAGGCTGATATTTTAGGGTAATGACCCCCTGCCAGAAAAGAAGACATTTCTTTACTGATTTGTTTGAACAGATTTTCTTCGTGCCGTTTATTTCTAAACAAAGCCCCGTAGCTGAGAAAAAAAGTTCGAAGGGGCGACATATAAATACTTGAATACTTGAGCAGCTGTACGTCATCGAAGTCCGTTGTCACGCCATCGATGCAGCTGGCAATTTCTTCATTCGATTTGTTGTTGCGCTCTCCGAGTCCACGCGATACCGTACAGGCGTACCATGGGGTCTCTCCATCTCACTAATGACCTCCCCAGTGTTCGCTTGACCGTGCGTGGGTGCCATTCCATTATCCGCTTCGTCCATCTTTTATCTGACATCCTTGCCACATGACCATTCAATCTTCTCTTTCTGGCCTTCATTGCTTCAATAATATCTTTCACGCCAGATCTGGCTTGTGGCACTTCATTTGGAATGTGCTGTAGCCTGTTGGCACCAATCATCCGCCGCTTCATTGCTCTTTGAGAGACTGCCAATTTCCATTCTTCAGCAAGCGTGGTATTCCACGTCTCACACCCATATAACATGGCTGGTATGACGTTTAAATACCAAAAGAAAAATTACACAAGTATATTTTTTATTTACTAAAACAAGTATTTTTTTATTAAAATAGATTTTGTGAGTATGTCGCAACAATACAGGAGTGTCTCTATCTTTAGGGTGATTTAAAAAATTTGATAGAAAGCGATGAAAATGAGGAGCCGATTGTGGAGCATATGCCGGAAGTGGAAAAA